CGGCGCGCTACTCTCTCTCTCTCTCTCTCTCTCTCTATATATATATATATATATATATATATATATATATATATATATATATATATATATATATACGGAAACCGGCTCAGGAGTATGACTCCCATTAGTCAGGCAGGCCTCAGTGTAGCAAACTCCGACACATGGTGGTAGTAGCAAGTCGTTTAGTGTCGGTTTGATCGCTACACGTCGGTCGCTTCTCCGTCATCTCTCACCGGGCTTTCTACCCCACCCAGCTTGATCGTGGGGGGGCATTCGGCCAGATCAAAAGCCTCTAGCTGCAATTAGCTACCACTAGCCATTCCGCACCCACTAGGGGGGGGGCATGAGCTTGGTCCGACGAATGGCACTCTTCCGAAGCCACGTGAAGGCCGCAGTTTAAAGTCAAAATATCTGGTTAGGGTCGAGAGCAAACCCTTCTTAGTTCCCGGCAGTCTAGCCCCTCACCTCCCCCACGCTATAATATAGCGGACTTTGGAGTCCGACATGCCAGGCTCTTCGGGACGGCGCGCTACTATAATCGGTGACTGAATCTAATTAGGCGCATAGGCCGGTGCTCGGCGATCGGGTGACCTGGAGCACTCAAGGCTTCCCTAAGAGCACCACGACACCTACGTTCGTTTTAAAGAGCAACCTACAATTGGGACATGGTGGGCCACTACATTCGATGAATAACCCGAGCCAGGTGATGCCCCCCGACGTCCCTGCTGTAGTGTAACCGGTGTCACTATGATGACGGTGATTAACGTACACTCAAGGCTTTCATACAAACCAGCGCCCCAACAACTAACATCGAATTTTGTTTGTGTTTTCTTTGGTGTTTGTGTTTAGTTTTGTTCTGTTCCCAAGTTAGTACATTAAATTTTTTTTCATAAAAAACGTTTTAATAACAAGCTTTTATGTAATAATGCACTAAAAAGTAGAAAAATTATACACTACTATTTAAATAACTATAAAGAAAAGCTTGGTTTACTGTAGTATCTATTGGATACCTTTACTAATGTTTAGGAAGAGACCCACGCTTTTCTTTATAGTTATTTAAATAGTAGTGCATAATTTATTTTCTACTTTTTAGTGCATTATTGCACAAAAGCTTGTTATTAAAACGTTTTTTTATGAAAAAATGTTTTTATTTACAAAAGAATTACATGACTAAAAACCATTGCGCATTTTGAACGTGATGACGCGTGTGGAGTAGATGGATAGAAATGCCTACTAATTTGGCCAAAATTTTAATTAATTCATAAAAAATTAATTAGGCATCCGAATAAGTTAAATTTAATGTCACGATGCATTGTCTTCATCTCTTGACCCACGTTCCAACTACGAACCGTATCTGTCAGGTAGAAGTGCCTGCAATTTCGCTCGGCCGCTTCGATCTAGACAGACAGACAGACAGACCGACGAGGGAGTGAGTGTAATAAAAGCTTGTAAAAAAAATTCATAAAAACGTTTTAATAACAAGCTTTTATGTACCAATGCACTCAAAAGTAGAAAATACATTATAGACTAATATTTAAATAACTATAAAGAAAAGCGTGGGTCACTTTAGTATCTCTTGAATACCTTTACTAATGTTTAGGAAGAGACCCACGCTTTTCTGTATAGTTATTTAAATAGTAGTCTATAATTTATTTTCTACTTTTTAGTGCATTTGTGCAGGGGTCGGCAACCTTTTGATACGCAAGAGCCAAAAGTTACAATTTACAAACTTTCCCAGTTTTAAAAGAGCCACAACATTTTTAGTTCAATATTCGGTATTTGATTAGGATTAGGTAAATAAAGTTGATTTGTTATTTAAAATAAATAGCTTTAAATATAAAATAATATTTATTCATATAAAAACATAGACATGTTTCGCAAGAATAGTAAAATTAGTAATCAAATAATATTATTCTAGGACTATCTCAATTAACTTTAGAAGCTGTTAATTTTTTTTTCTTTACGGATATCACCGGCTCAGGAGGTGTCTCCCATTAGCCAGTCAGGCCTCAACACGGCAAACGCCTTCTAACTGGCTTGGGTATCGGTTTGAATAACTTGCATAGTTCGTTTCTATCCTTTGGTTCTCACCAGGCTTATCTTCCATCCCACTGAACGCAGTGGTAAAGTCGTACCCCACCGTCCAGTAAAAATGAAATTATATAACTATTAATATTTGTGCAAGTCGCTGGAGAGCCGCATCTGGGCGTCAAAAGAGCCGCATGCGGCTCGCGAGCCGCAGGTTGCCGACCCCTGCATTAGTGCATAAAAGTTTGTTATTAAAACGTTTTTTATGAAAACATTTTTTAGTACTTTACATATTTTTATTTACAAACCATTGCGCGCCTATTGAACGTGATAACGTGATAACGCGCTATTGAACGTGATGACGCGTGTGGAGTAGTTGGATAGAAAGCCTACTAATTTGGTCAAAATATTAATTCATAAAAAATTAATTAGGCATCCAATTAAGTCAAATTTAATTTCAGATTGCATTGTCTTCATGTCTTGTTCCACGTGCCAACTGTGAACCGAATCTGTCAGTTACATATATACATATATATATACATATATATATACATATATATATACATATATATATACATATATATATATATACATATATATACATATATATATATACATATATATATACATATATATATATACATATATATACATATATATACATATATATATATACATACATATATATATACATATATATATACATATATATATATACATATATATATACATATATATATACATATATATACATACATATATATATATACATACATATATATATATATATATACATATATATATATATATATATATATGTGTGTGTGTGTGTGTGTGTAGTATATATTATAGGCCTATAGGCTATATATATTATCCTTGTGAGAGATGTAGTCTTGCCTGCCCTTTTTTCCACCCCTCAATAGTCCTCACAGTACAGAGATGGAGGTCGTATGACTTTCCAAAATTGACGTGATATACTCAAATGACCTTGAATAGGCTGAGGTACCCCATAGAATTTACGCAAGTTTTTCTATGCCTGTGAAAGAGTGAATGACGTCAGTATCCATGTTTTGTTTTGCTCGTTTCCCCAGCCTTTTTTTACTTCTGTTTATTATTGTTTGTATGTGTAATTGTGTTTGGAACGGATTCGTTATAAAAATCGTTCCCAAACTGAGTTGCTTGCCAAGCCTTTATCTACGCATGTTTTGTTTGTTCACACTACACACTTTGACTTGTTGACTTAAAAAAAACAACAATGAAAAACGTGTTCTACTACTTATATTTATACGCCGCCCGCTTTTTTTCTCTCTTTCGGCTGTTCTTTATTACAACTTACCTGGGAATTTTGTTTCGCGTTGAACTTTAACCTAGATTCACCTACAGGGTTATACAACTAATACCTGCACACACGTTTACGTGCAATGCATACTGTTCTATTTTAAGCCTCGCATCGAGAAAATAACAAACCTACATTATCAGCTGATTATCGGGAAAAGCGTTTCTATTTAAGTTTTGAGTACAAAACAAACTCGAGTGGTGGCGTTGAGTTAGTTGGTGTTTTTTTTACGTGAAATGTAAATGAACAAATTACACATAGTCATCTCCACCTGTTTAAGATTCTTTTTGTTACATACACTATTATGAATGTAACGACCTGAGATACTTTTGTTACATACACTATTCTGAATGAAACTGCTTGAGATACTTTTGTTACATACACTATTCTGAATGAAACTGCTTGAGATACTTTTGTTACATACACTATTCTGAATGAAACTGCTTGAGATACTTTTGTTACATACACTATTCTGAATGAAACTGCTTGAGATACTTTTGTTACGTACAGTACTATAAAAACATCAGATCCATTTGATTAGCCCCCCAACTCAGAAGTTTTCTAGAAATTAGTCCAAAATTGGTGGTGCTGTGTTGATGTTGACTGTGGTGTGGTGCTGTGTTGACGTTGTGTGGTGTGGTGATGTTATGTGTTGGGTGGTGCCGTGTTGATTTTGTGTGTGGAGTGGTGCTGTGCTGTGTCGATGTTGAGAGTGATGTGTTGATGTGTGTGGAGTGGTGCCTTGTTGAAGTTGTGTCTGGAGTGTTGCTGTGGTAATTTTGGGTGGTGCTGTGTTGATGTTGTGCTTCAAGTGGTGCTGTGTTGGTGTTGTGCTTCAAGTGGTGCTGTGTTGATGTTGTGCTTCAAGTGGTGCTGTGTTGATGTTGTGCTTCAAGTGGTGCTGTGTTGATGTTGTGCTTCAAGTGGTGCTGTGTTGATGTTGTGTGTGGAGTGATGCTGTGTTGATTTTGTGTGTGGAGTGATGCTGTGTTGATGTTGTGCTTCAAGTGGTGCTGTGTTGATGTTGTGCTTCAAGTGGTGCTGTGTTGATGTTGTGCTTCAAGTGGTGCTGTGTTGATGTTGTGCTTCAAGTGGTGCTGTGTTGATGTTGTGCTTCAAGTGGTGCTGTGTTGATGTTGTGCTTCAAGTGGTGCTGTGTTGATGTTGTGTGTGGAGTGATGCTGTGTTGATTTTGTGCTTCAAGTGGTGCTGTGTTGATGTTGTGTGTGGAGTGATGCTGTGTTGATTTTGTGTGTGGTGCGGTGCTGTGTTGATGTTGTGTGGTGGCTGGTGCTATGGTGATGTTGTGCTTGGGGTGGTGCTGTGTTGATGTTGTGGGTGGTGCTGTATTACTGCTTTTACAGAACTTCTGTCGCTAGGTTTGTATCATAGATTTGTTTCTTAGATATGTTGCTAGGTTTATTTCTTATTCTTGATATGTTTTTAGGTTGTTTTTTTATTTATATATGTGGCTACATTTGTTCAAATATTTCTCAATTTTATAGTGGGTTTTTTTTAAACCTGTACACTGTCTAAATAGAGATGTCGAATCTAAACTTCTAATCTATTAATCCCCCAACGCTAATATATAGAGAAAGTCACTCGTGTATTTAAAAATGACGACAAGCTGCCTCTAGACTTAATTCCATATATTATTTATTTATTTGCAAGAACATTGTTAAAGAGTACAGTAATTCAATTTAGTTTGATCGATACAATAAAGATCATGTTCCTGTCCTGGGCAAGTTAGTCCATAGTCCGTCGTATCTTCCTGTCCTGGCCAAGTTTGTCCAGTGTCTGTCATATCTTCCTGTCCTGGGCAAGTTTGTCCAGTGTCTGTCATATCTTCCTGTCCTGGGCAAGTTTGTCCAGTGTCTGTCATATCTTCCTGTCCTAGGCAAGTTTGTCCAGTGTCTGTCATATCTTCCTGTCCAGTGGAAGTCTGTCCAGTGTCCGTCGTATCTTCCTGTCCTGGGCAAGTTTGTCCAGTGTCTGTCATATCTTCCTGTCCTGGGCAAGTTTGTCCAGTGTCTGTCATATCTTCCTGTCCTGGGCAAGTTAGTCCATAGTCCGTCGTATCTTCCTGTCCTGGCCAAGTTTGTCCAGTGTCTGTCGTATCTTCCTGTCCTGGGCAAGTTTGTCCAGTGTCCGTCATATCTTCCTGTGATGGCCAAGTTTGTCCAGTGTCCGTCATATCTTCCTGCCCTGAGCAAGTTTGTCCAGTGTCCGTCATATCTTCCTGTGATGGCCAAGTTTGTCCAGTGTCCGTCATATCTTCCTGCCCTGGGCAAGTTTGTCCAGTGTCCGTCATATCTTCCTGTGATGGCCAAGTTTGTCCAGTGTCCGTCATATCTTCCTGCCCTGGGCAAGTTTGTCCAGTGTCCGTCATATCTTCCTGTCCTGTCGAGGTTTGTCCAGTGTCCGTCATATCTTCCTGTCCTGGCAAAGTATGTCCAGTGTCCGTCATATCTTCCTGTGATGGCCAAGTTTGTCCAGTGTCCGTCATATCTTCCTGCCCTGGGCAAGTTTGTCCAGTGTCCGTCATATCTTCCTGTCCTGTCGAGGTTTGTCCAGTGTCCGTCATATATTCCTGTCCTGTGGAAGTATGTCCAGTGTCCGTCATATCTTCCTGTCCTGGGCAAGTTTGTCCAGTGTCCGTCATATCTCCCTGCCCTGGGCAAGTTTGTCCAGTGTCCGTCATATCTCCCTGCCCTGGGCAAGTTTGTCCAGTGTCCGTAATATCTCCCTGCCCTGGGCAAGTTTGTCCAGTGTCCGTCATATCTCCCTGCCCTGGGCAAGTTTGTCCAGTGTCCGTCATATCTTCCTGTCCTGTGGAAGTTTGTCCAGTGTCCGTCATTTCTTCCTGTCCTGTGGAAGTTTGTCCAGTGTCCGTCATATATTCCTGTCCTGTGGAAGTTTGTCCAGTGTTCGTCATATCTTCCTGTCCTGTGGAAGTTTGTCCAGTGTCCGTCATTTCTTCCTGTCCTGTGGAAGTTTGTCCAGTGTCCGTCATATTTTTAGTATAACAATTTGCATATGCTGGAGATTCCTCAGCCTCTTGTAATGTGGTGTTCGGCTTGTCGTGATGGTTGTCACACGTTTTTAAGTGAATGATCACTGGAAATGTTGACGTCTGTTCGCGGCCAAGTCTGCTGACGGTGTCATTTGTGTTGTTTGTGTAGCCAATGTTTGCATCTCCACTTGTAGCACTATCTGTTAGACAGCTATACAATTCAGTCACATGATCCGTCACTTTACTGTTGTTTGTCGAACCCTTGTCAATGTTCGAACTATCTACATAATTGTAAAGCGCTGCTGCACTGTCCATCTCGGCAGTATCCCCCACTGTCTGACGCCTCCTGGTGTCCACGAGAAAGTAATCGCTTTGTGTGTCCACTTTGTCTGATCTTGACCTCCCGTCTCGGCTCAAGTGGGCATACACGTGTTGACTACCATCCGATGCTCCAGCGGTCGGGGTGTCCAATTTGGGAGTTGAAAAAGCCCTAAACCTCCCGCTGCTTGCTTGAATGTACGGGTTTCTTAGTGCTATTTCTGACTTGGGTACACGCGAGTAAGGTGAGACCTCGGCCATTGGAGGCTGTGCTGGAGACACGTCGGCAATCATCTCGTACAGCTGGTCTGCCGCCTCGCTCACATCCTGTGTGGACTGGCTCCAGCTGGGGTCAGCCTCGTCATCTGACATGCTGTCGTGTCGCAGGATGCCTGACGTGTTGTCGTGTCGCAGGATGCCTGACGTGCTGTCGTGTCGCAGGTTGCTTGACGTGCTGTCTTGTTGCAGTTTACCTGACGTATTCTCGAGTCGCTGGTTGGGGTGTAGTCTCGACGCCCTCGAGCTTTTGCTCGGCGGGTCTTTCTCAATGTCAGTCTGGGCATCGATACATTCGTACGTGTCCTGCTGGATCTCGTTCATTTCCTTCTTATCAGCACATTCCTTCTTGTGTCGTTTTCTAAGACTTAAATAGAAATGACCGCTGAACCAAGTTAGTAGAAAACATGTTTACATCTTTTACATCCATTGAAATTGACTAAAGGGGTTAGGGTCGAGTGGAGATAACCCATCAATACAAATCGCCCTCGACACATGACACATACACAGTGCACGCAAATCACAGACACACACACACACACGAGAGTGAGAGAGCGTAAAGAGCTGAGTGAATGAGCGAAAGTAACATAGACTTTAAATAAGGATCAGTTCAGACAATAAGTGTCAATCTTTGCTCCACAAGAAAATTACTACTTCAACTTATCTTGTAGAATTGATACAATAAGGGAAATAATCGATTTAAAAACCTCACTGCTATTAGCATATTGCTTCTCTCCCATACTTTTATGTATATATATATATATATATATATATATATATATATATATATATATATATATACAAATATATTTATACATATATATATTTATATATATACTTACGCATACATACACATATATACATATATATACATACATAAATATACATACATAAATACACATACATAAATATACATATATATATACATACATATACATACATATATATACATATATATACATACATATATATACATATATTTACATACACATATATATATATATATATATATATATATATATATATATATATATATATATATATATATATATATATATATATATATATATATATATATATATATATATACATATATTTACATACATATATATACATATAGGTGGATTCCTATAGACGCCTGCCTGGACATATACTAATATCAGAGGCGTAGCGACCCTTCCCGGCGCCCGGGGACAAACTTTTCGATTCGCACCCCTCCCCCTCAAGATACCGATTTGCACCCCCTCAAACTTTTCGATTTGCACCCCCCCCCCCCCTCAAACTTTTCGATTTGCACCCCCCCCAACCTTTCAATTTATTTTTCCAACCCATTTTGGCGCCCCCTAAGGTCGGCGCCCGGGGACATATGTCCCACCCCCCCCCCCCCCAGCTACGCCTCTGACTAATATCTGTATTAATTATTTTAGTCAATCTCAATAATTAGTTAACAGTAATGATGTTAGACCATACCAGCTTGACTAAACTAAGTCTTTAAAGTGAAGCATTGACAGAAACCAGCCATCTTTAGCTGACAATATAAAGTTACAACCCAAAGACTTACCTCTCATATTTAGCTGACAGTTGAAAATACAACCGAAAGACTTTAGTGGAAAGTTACAAAAGACATACAACCCTTCTCCTACTTGATTTATTTAAAAAGACCTAATTGTTTGAATGAGGTACCTGATCAAAAACAGGGATATGATCAAAGCAAAAAATGCCCAGTAACAAGAGGACCAGTCCAGCCACAAATAATATCTTGCTTGTGTCGTTCTCGGTTGGACCTGGTGAATACAACCAGTGTGCAAAGGTCAAAACAAGGTTAACAGAACATTTCTTGACAGAAAATACATACAAACTGTTGTTATCGCACAGAAAGTACATACAAACTGTTCTTATCGCACAGAAAGTACATACAGACTGTTCTTATCGCACAGAAAGTACATACAAACTGTTCTTATCGCACAGAAAGTACATAAAAACTGTTCTTATCGCACAGAAAGTACATACAAACTGTTCTTATCGCACAGAAAGTACATACAAACTGTTCTTATCGCACAGAAAAATACATACAAACTGTTCTTATCGCACAGAAAATACATACAAACTGTTCTTATCGCACAGAAAGTACATACAAACTGTTCTTATCGCACAGAAAATACATACAAACTGTTCTTATCGCACAGAAAGTACATACAAACTGTTCTTATCGCACAGAAAATACATACAAACTGTTCTTATCGCACAGAAAATACATACAAACTGTTCTTATCGCACAGAAAGTACATACAAACTGTTCTTATCGCACAGAAAATACATACAAACTGTTCTTATCGCACAGAAAATACATACAAACTGTTCTTATCCCACACGAAGTAGACTACTTACTAACATTTCTTGTGCTGTCCTGAGCTTCATCAGGAACTGAAGTTTTCTTGAAACATGATAATGTCACATTTTCTAAACCTAGAACTAGAAATGTTCTTGAAACATGATAATGTCATATTTTCTATACCTAGAACTAGAAATGTTTTTGAAACTGATAACATTATTGTATGCTAATATATATGTGAAAGGTAAATACATCTACCAAATTATCGTGTGTATAAAATGTCTTTCTGGAACGCTTACCACCAACTTTCTATCTGCTACTAGCAGTTTTTAGCGCAATTTCCATACGGACAATTGCGATTATTAACTCATCATTTCTGGATGGATGAATGAATGAATGAATGGATGGATGGATGGATGTGTGTCGGCAGAGCATGGAAAAAATTAGCCAGATGTAAAGACGGTAAGTGCCCTAAAATCCGTTTTGAAATCACCCTCTGTTTTTCCCATAAAATACAAAGATTACATAGGGAAATACGACTGGTCAGTTTTGACCCATTTAACGTTCTCCTACCACCTCACAAAATTTCAAGGGGGTCGTCGGAGGAAATTTTTTTTTTCGTAATAGAGCTCATATAAAGAGAATTTCACTCGCGGTCACTTTTTAGCCCTCGTCGAGGGCTTTGAGTGAAAATATATATGTATATACATGTATATATATATATATATTATATATATATATATATATATATATAATATATATATATATATATATATATATATATATGTATATATAATGTATATATATGTATATATATATCTGTGTGTGTATATATATATATATATATATATATATATATATATATATATATATATATATATATATATACTATGCATACTGCCTAGCTTCGCTTAGGTTTTTAAAAAACATTTGAGAATTTGAATACTTAATTATTTAGCGATGGATTGGGTGGGGAGTGCTTTAATTTAAACAGTAATGCTAACTTTAGAAAAAATGTTTTTGTTTGTCATTTAAATTCCGTTCTCAGAGAAATATTGGAAAGTAGGCCTACGCAATGTATAACTAAAATGGAATTAGAACTACACAGGTTCCATGAACAGTATATCTAATATATATCTATATATATATATCTAATAGTTTATATTACATTGCCTTTTGAAATTTATTTGATTATTTAATTAGGATACGTAACTGAATTAAC